TTCCTTGTCATAAGCACGCACTTACGCAAGGGAGGGGGGTTCGAGGATATTCGACCGAACCCCCTATTTTTGTGGTGTAAAAAATTATGATTATATAGTTATAGTACAGCTGCTTATGGTATTTAACGTTTTTTACATAATCTACATTCTTCTGATGAAGCATTAACACTTTTGGGCTTAAAATAGCCGCATGCAATGGCTTCTGTTGACACTTTGTAAATGGAAGTTCGAAGCTGTATTGCTACTGTTAGGATTTGTAGGCTGGATTCTTTAGAGTAGATGGCTGTGATTTTTGGCGATAAATTTCAACAGTAAACAAACAGCAACACAGTCTATTTGTTTTAAAATAATATTGTTACGTCTCCGTTTGTTAATTTACTTTCCGTAACTTCGTTCCGACGAAACTTTAGCGACACAAGTCCTTACTTAATAAAACTGGTTTATTCTTTCTGAATATAACTTTACGATACACTTGATTTCAACATTCGCGCTAAAACAAACGCTATAACGAACTTCAACAATACTATCGGACTGCAGATCAATTACTCACTACATACAAACATTGTTGTCACGTTGAACTCATAAGTAGCAGTGGAAGATCTTGATCCCATGTTTCATGATGTTCGTTCAAATATATTGCTGAATGGTCAAAAGTGTATGATTGTATCTCTTCACCATACTTTTGGAAGATGGTTGAAAAGCTGTTGTCCTGTTCCTTTTTACGTTCCAAGGATCTGGCACATTTCTGCAAACAAAGCTGATTCAAAGTTCCATCCCTGACTTATAATGGTAAAACTGGGTTTCAATACCCATGGTGGGCACATTACAGATAACCTTTTGTGTAGCTTTGCGCTTAGCTAGAAACAAACAAACAAATTTAAAATGATGATTGCAAAAGCTGAGTATTTCAAACAGCAATACATGAAGCTACAGGTAACACACCATCATTACTGACGTTTGGGAGTGAACTTAAAGTGGCACATAACTTTCTGCATTCACACCCAGATTGGATTTTATTGAGGTGTCATGGTATAATTGTACAATACCCGCCCCAATAAATGACAAACTCCAAAGTTAAGCAGGTATTTGGAATAGTGATACATAGTACTCAAAGGAATCAATGATGTTGTTTGTCGAATATAGAAGGACAAGTGGTCTAAACCAAAGGTCATCCACCATGATATTTTTTGGAAGTACATTGGAGAGATAATGGCCAGCTGGGAATCTACAGAGAAGACGTTGTTTGTGGAAAGTCTACATACAGAAGAACCAAGGGTCCTGTAGAGACCACTTTCTGAGGATCACCAAGGATACAGTCATCAGTGGATTCATTTGACCACCTACCCTGGGAGAAGTCATTCAGAGATAGGACAACAAGTGAAAATAAGGACAAGAAATAATCACATCTGCCTACTGTAATCCTCTTTGAAGAAAACCCATCAAGAAGACTTGGTGAATGGAAAGCTTAGTGTATTTTTATACTTGTGTGTCAGGATTGTTCAATGGACTTCACAATTCAGAAAAGAGGCATTTTAGTAAGCTATATTCTCAATGTTATAAATTTAGTTGTTTGCTAGAGGGAGCTGCTAATCATGATGCTATATCTACTACCAATAGACAAAGGTACATTATTTATAAATACTTTATGAGTTCAATGCTAAAAATGTCTTCACAGTTTGGTTTGGTTTGTTTCGAATTTCGCGCAAAGCTACACAATGA